GAGAGCATCGAATCTTGCGAGCGCTGCATCCCTTAGTTTTGTTTCTTGTCAGTCAATCTGTGTTATTGTATTTGAATTCCGAAGAATTGCCAGGCCATTTTTGATGCCGTTTACTAGCGTCTTCATCGCGTCAGTTCTATCGCCTAAAAGTGTCTTGACTTTGCTGACGTAGCCCTCCTTGTTTAGAATAGCTGTCGACCGTCCTTTGCTGGCAGGAAGTACGACAATGTTTTTGTCGGCCTCCAGTGTCCGTAGTACTTCGCCTTCTGTCCTCGAGAGCGTCTTGCATTTTTGGGGACATCAGTCTGGAGGATATTCGCTGTCGTAGAAGATTTCGGCTTTCCTCTGGAATTAGAGCTTTAAGAATGATAGATTCCGCAGCCTCGATGAAGTCAAGTGGGTCGGCATCCGTGGTATTGAAACAGGCGTCATAGCCCAGGAATCTTTTCTGCTCTGCTGTCAGTTGTTTAGAGGACAGATTGTGCACGACATTGGCTTGGCAGAGATTTGCATTCTGTTCGCTGAATGTGATCAAACTGTGTCAGTTTGGTGTCACGTGCATCGCGAATGCGTCTCGTCTTGAAAGATATGGTACAGTGAAGATCATTTGTCAGCGCTCTTCCGAGGATTGTTGAGCATTTGGCTTGTTCCCCCGCGATTTTTGTTTTGTACTTGCGCAAACATAGGTGAAAATCTTGGATTGGGACCAGAATCATTCTGCTTCCGTTTTGCTGGAGTGTTCATCTTCCTAGCTCGGTGTTGACTTGAGATTCCTACGAGGGGCATCTCGGCAGAGTAGTTGAGTTTAGGCACCTATGTAGGAACCTCAGTTGAGCCTACGTTTAGACCTGTCGACGGAAAAGGATTCCCAACCACGTGTTGATTTAAGTGCTTCGCCCTCGAATGGATTCTAAATGGTCGGAAGGAAGATGACGAATACCGCTCGTATTCTGAGTCACTTCAACAACCATCCCGTCTCGCACAAACGCAGCTGCGTGCGAACGCTATATCGCCGAGTAGAAACCCATTGTAGCGAACCAGCCAACAAGAAGGCTGAGGTCCAGTTCTACGGAAATTCTTCACAATGAATGGACATCCCGGCATTTTAGTCAAAAACGCAGGTGAGTAGCAAAAAAAGAAAACCAACGTGATAGCCAGAACCAACTCCCTAGCGAGAATTACCTTATATTGCTGGTGTATCCGAAGAATTCGCTCGACTGGTCGAGGAATTCGGGATTGGCGTCGCTCACCGACCAGAAGCGACAATCTGCAGGCAGCTCATGCCACCTAAAGACCCAGTACCCGTTAACCAAAATCCGTGGTCGTTTACTGCATCGACTATCTTTGTGGTCAATCCAATTATGTTGGTGAAACCCAAAAACGGGTTCTCACGAGAATGTCTGAGCACGAACTCGGCGTGTGAAGGAAGAAAAAGCTATCCTTGGTAGCCGCCCACGCACCCTCGCCAGGGCACGGCTTGGACTTCGAACGCGTAAGAATACTAGGCCAGTCAGACAACCGAATGTCATGCCTGCTGCATGAAGCATAGCACGCCCGTGTGGATTGAAAGAAAAGGCGTATCGAATTTCCTGATGCCTATCTGGCGTTGCGCGAACAAATAGATGGCAGGGCTGAAGGTCACTCCCGGAAGAGCTGAGCTACATATGCAGTGACCTGTACACTTTCTAATTCCTTGACAATGAGCTCGTGTGAGAGTTCGAAACGTCGGGCAAATAAACAACTGGTCCCAGAGAACGCTTTCCCGTCTTCTATTCCAGTCTTTCTATGTAAGGCCCCTGACTAGCTTCTTCGTACGAAGTTGCTCTTTCTCTAGATATATTTTTTTCTTTTGTGAGTCATGGCCTCCACGCCTGTAGGCCATATTCTGGGTGATCTTGAACGAAAGTGACGTACACTTTACCAAAGAAATTTCTGTCGAAAGATACCAACGCCCCTTTGCTAGCGTTTAGCATTCCTATGGCGTTGTTTGCAGCCTTAACGCATTGCAACAATGACTTCAGACTGATCTTTATCCAGAAGCTTATTAGTGCGTGAATTAATTTTCATTTTACTCTTTCTTCACTCACCTTGCTTTAATAACAAGAATGTATTAGGACAACCAGCGGTGGCGCGGACTTGGCGGTTGACAAAATCAAACAGTCCGTCTACGCATGCCACACACGACCTGGATCACACTGCATGCAATAGACTACCATAGAGGCGACTCCAGTCTTGCAAAGGGAAGGATGCCATTAAGGCCACACAGAGAAGGGATCATTGCAGCCTAAATCTCAATCATCCAACCAATCCAAAATACCCCGATGAGGACCATGACCTCTTAGCGTATCTCGATAGCTTTAGGCTTGTCGGATTTATAATAACGATAAATGCACCGATCTGCCTAGAAGACGGACTCCCAAAGTCAACCTCGCTCTCCCTCTTCTCCCTCCCATGCACCAGTCAATTATCTTAGTCCGTTAACCAGCTACAGGCAAAACTAAAGTGCTTCGTACTTTACCAATTATTATACCCTCAGTTCATCGTTGTGTAAAGATACGCCAGTCAAGTGAGTCTGGCTTGGAGGAATTCGGAGTGTGAAAAAGTTTTTTTAGGAATTGCTCCATCGTTTGCTCGTTATTTATCTGAGGTTTTTGATCGCACAACGAACTGCATCGTGCATTTAGAAAGAAGACGGATGAGTTAACCAACGTTCTCGCAGAGATAGAAGGCGTTAAACGAAACATCTCGGAGGAACAGGAGGCTCACGAAAAACTCACCATCACTGTGCGTCGCACGGAGAAGGAAATTGCGAGCATGAAGTCCCAGCTTGAAAAAATGCAGAACAGACATGAAATTATGCGCCAAGAATATGCAGAAAACTTAAGAATTCTACAGGAAAGTGAGAGAAACCTGTTGCTCGCCAATCATGTACGTTTTTCATGTTATGTTCAATGTCTGTGACAGCACATTTCATGAGTATAAACATGCATATATAAGTTGACTAAACTAGTTAGCCACAGTTAACCTAAGCAGTCTTAGTAAGGTAATAAGTACGAAAAGCTGTAAGAATGAAAATTTTAGATAGGACGTCTCGGTAAAGACCGAATATGTGGCCTTATCTAGTGTTTACTTCTAGGAAATATCGATTTATGTCATTTGGGTAGACCTAAGTTAACTCCCTTAGCGTCACGCGTCCCCCAGTTGGTATCATTAGGGGTAACGTCTGGCTTAAGCTTAGAGTTAGGGATTTAGGAAGAAAAGGTGAGGATAGGGACTAGGTTTAGTGGTTAGGGCTAAGAGTAAGGTCACAGTTAGGCTGGGAGATTGGGTGCAACGTTAGGCTATCAGAGTTGTCAGTTTCAATTATATCCTCAATCGTAGCCATCCTAAAAGTCGGACTTGCCGATTGATTCTTCAAAATTTTCCCATTTTGTGATTGGTTATTATAGGTTTGTGTCAGTTCGCTTGGAACGTCTATCCAGTACTGTCGGTTTTCATTTTTCTACCCGTTTACAGCTCCTAATGCTCAGTAGTTCAAACTGTGTGCTCGCGTTTTTGGCATTTTTTGAGTATTTAAATAAGTTACCGGCGTGGATGTATTTTAACTTTTCTTCCCGAGAACAGCTATATGTTCGTGTGTTTTAGTTCACCCCCAGTGCCACCACTCCCAGATTACAGGTGTCCTTCCCTTTCTGAGGGGAGTCGCATGTCTAGTAGTTGCTCATAACATAAACCTAACCCACATCTCTTTTCAAATCCCAAACGTAATAATTTAGCCTACCCGTAATGCATAACTTGAGGCTTATCCCTTAATATAGCCCTAAGCACAGTACCTGACCCTTGTAGCGGCTCAAGTAGTGAGTGAACCCTAGGTCGCCACACACACATATAGTCCCGAGTTGCGGAATGAGACAGCCGTCAACCGAATGAGGGATTTATGGTGCGCAGGACCTGGAGTAGCTCTCCCGGTGGCAATGGCCG